TCACCCACCTACGAGCATATATCCCTTCTCTTTCCTCCTTCTCTCTCTTGTTCTCTTCTGAGGGTAATCGCAACATACCCAAACGAACCGATCCCTTGAGGCTCAAAGACACGCCGATAACAGGTTAGAAGGGATACAAAACAGTCTCAGTTCTGGGCTGAGAAGACTGCAGAATGATTGGAAGAGGTCCAAAAGAGGCCCGAGAACACGAGAATGGCCCATATCGGCAAATTATCATAGCCTCTCTGGTTCTCTTGTTCTCGTATGTCGGGATTTGTATTGGGCGAGGATCAGCTTGGCAAGTTGATTAATGAGATCCGTCCATAGCCTCTCGGAACACTTGACCACAACATCATCCATCCACAGGAGCCCTCGTTCCCTTCATAGGAGTAAGTAACTTGAGCCCCGTGAACTGATTTCTAAGACCTTGTCCGATTTCTTTTTATTCCCCAAACTTTGTCTCGACCTCACTTTAGGGCGCCCTCCTTCCCCTGCGCATCTGATTAAAATCGCATGCAGAACTGACCATAGAGGCATCGATTTTAGCATCCATTTCTTATGCGACTCACGTGGAGAAGCCTATACTTGGGAGGAGAAGCGATATAAAATGCAATAGGGAAATCTTTATGGATGGAAATCCTAGAAAGCCTACCAGTGCTGGATTCCCTGTCCCCATCCCTGTTCACCGAAAAAAATGACGCGAATAGCTGTTCTTAATTAACAATTGTCTGGCATTTTTAAGGGGGCAGAAGAATCATCTTGTCCTCAGCTACACACAGGTCCAGTCTCTTTCTTGGTCCTTTGTAAGCACTGATTACTAATTTCCCAATTATGAGGTATCTTTTTCATGAAGGTAGTGTGGATGACAAGGTTTCTTGTGAGAGGTGACCATTCGAGGGAGAGCAGGTAGATGTACTAGGTGATGTACTCGTATACGTAGCTCTACGTGGTATGACGACACTAGGATAAGAGTTGGACTTCGCTTTTCTCCTCCACCCAACAGGAGGTGATTCTATTTGACTCTGGATTCGAGCCAAGTCGGGCCTCCTCACATGATATAGAAGGAATTGAATGAGAGAGCAATTCTGGAAGATGACACTCCAATAGGGCATGCGCCATCCCAATGTAGGTCTAACAATTAGTCTTATTGTACTCTAGGCCTCTAATGGGCATGTTGCCCATTAGAGGCCCCTAATATTCCCTGGGGTACGTCTTCTTTCGTTGCTTTGAGCCTTACTACGCATTTACCTATGTGACTCACAACAAATAGCATCGGTGAGTTGCCGGCGAAATGTCCAAGTCGAATGAAAGCAATGTTCTAATGCTGTAAAGCTTAACTGGCTCTTGTGTAGTGATCTAGATTTTGATGCTGAATTCTCAAGTATAAGCGGATACTTACAACGTCGGGAACGTACACAGGGTGGGCCAACAATAAAATAAGTATGATGCTTCAATTATTTATCCGTTAAAAGGCAGAGCTAGCACCAGCTAACAAATAATGGATTTGAAGACATCAACTTTTCGTCAAAGTCAGTAAGAAAAAAACTTCAATATGGCTTTCGCCGTTTTTAACATTACCTGGCAAATGTGACCCCCACTGGTCATTTATTTATCCGGGCGAAAAATAACCAAGCATAGAATCCCACTTGAAGACGATCTTCGTATGCCGATTACAGTGATTCTGAACGATGGCATTCCTGTGAGTTTTTTTTTATTTATCACAAGTGTTCCTCAAACTTAAAAATCCCAAGGGTGTAGATCAGAATTGTTCCAAGGCCGCAGTTCTAGCTCTATGAACTCTGGTGTCTTCTTCGACAATTGATTCGTCTTCCAGCAAGATGAAAGTCTTATTTTGAAGGTCTCGTGCAAGTGTCGCTGTCTTGCATTAGATAATACCAGATTTGATAAAACGCAAAATGGGGTGAACTGAACAGCCTTGATTTGCACCTTTTTAATTCAGCAGTTTCGGGAATATTCCAAGAAAAGCTTCAGAATCTGTAGGATCTGTAAGTAAAGGTCGCCCATGAGTAGAAACGATTATGAAAAATCAGCAGAAGTCTGCATGAGGAATGCAGAAGAGGATTTGAGGAGAGTGCTCCTCTTCTCAGTCGATTTAAGAACATGAATCTCTGTGCAAACAGCAGGGGAGACAGCTCGTGCTTTCTTTTTTTTCAGACACTTCTGATGTGTGTGCTAGTTTGGCAGTTCCTGCCATATCGTTGGCTCCCACACTTGCTGCTCAACGAGTGTCTATGCGTTGTCCAATGACAAAAAGTCAATCTTTCCGCCCTGAAAGTCTGCAGATTTATAATAAAGTAACGTAGATATTAGAGTATGCGCACATGTCTGTTCGAAATTTAAGTTTAATTGGTAGATACCTAGGATTCGATATCATGATAATGGTGAGACCTGGCTTGAATATGATTCACGGTACCAGGACTATCCAGGAGAGAGTTGAGTTCCTCAAGTGTTATTACAATAATGATAGACTTTCTAATTCACCGCATCCTCATTACCATGTCAAAACAGGAGATGGATGATGTCATGCACCACGTTTCAGTTTCTGAAGTCAACTTAGCTCATAGCTTCATCGATGTCAACGCTACACTTCCTCGGAAACGCGTTAAAGTGACGTATCTATAGCCGACTTATCCTTAGCGCGACTCAATCCAGGCCACCTCTGCCAAGCCCCACAAGGGAGTTGAGGCAACGTTAAACGTTAGCACGATTAATGTTGGATACGTGCTAAGTCGACTTAACTTGCGACACTTCCATAGAGTATGCGCTGTCGAGAACACCTGACCTCGAAACGCGCCCTGACAGTACTAGAGCGCATGCTCGATTGAAGCGTTGCATGCTAAGTCAACTCGGCGTATTCCCATGAACTCTAAGGATGGAGCACTTCAGGAAGGAGGGGAGGGGAATCTCCCCTGGAAACGTGTCATCGTAACTCAAATCCACTTTAGATAAGTCGACTTCAGCTAAAGCGCTCTTGCGAAACCTCCATTGACACGCGGTGATTGTCATGTGAATGCTATCGTTTCGGAAGCATCGGAAATGTGCATGAAACTATACAAACCTGCTCCAAAATTATATCCGTTGAAGTGAAAGAAATTTTAATTGTGTGTCCTCGTGATATCATTCAATTAAAAAAAAAAGAAATCTTGCTTAACTTCATCAGCTCTTCGCGTGAAGGTCACGCGAAATGGTTTGAGTCAAATATCTTCCCACCTCCAAAATGGCTAGCTCATTTTTCATGGGAGAATGCTCACATGCCATTGCAGGGAAACTATCATAGTCCTCTTTACCTGAGACCGAGTCGATATACTGTAATCGGAATGCAAGATGTGTGAATGCGGTATCGGCATTAGATTAGTCGGCCCGATTTAACTCTCCCATGCTGCACCTCCGCTGACACGCGGAATACTCCGGCGACCGGCCAACGCAACATTTAATCGATCCCACATTAATATTGACAGTAGATGTTAGGAAAATTTTGGGTCAATGCATATTGCCTACCGGAATATTTCAGGGTCATTCGGTTAGTTAGCAAATGTAAGGTCTTCTTTACTAAACGTACTCCTGCCATTTGGATTTAGAAACAGATGGACCCAATAGACCAGCAGTTCACAACCTCGGGTAGCGACCCAAATCAGGGTTGCGGGGGGCCCACAGTAGGGTCGCAAAGGGTCAATATAATCAAATAAATATAGTTACACAGATATGCATCTATACTTATATACTTAATATTTAATAAATATATATTTAAATGGTATCATAAGTCTGAGGGTTGGGAGGTCCTGTTGGTGGCCAATTTAGGGTCGCAGCAAAAAAAGGTTGGGAACCACTGCAATAGACCTATTTCCACCTGTTGAAGCGATGTCCACCTGGTTCAAAATCCACCCAGGGGAGAACATCCAACTGGCTCGAGGAACACGAGCGCGTATGACCAGGTGCATTTCCATCGAGTGTGACATTCATATGGTTCAAAATCCACTTCCTATCCACTTTGTTGTTAAGCCGGGTGGATGCAGGTGGACGTTTTTTCGGGGTATACTATAAGTGCAAAGGAAGTTTCTCTATTCTAATCCCGAATTGCGATGCAAATGGATGAAAATTAGGCCTCATAGGAGAGGAACGAGGTAATCATCGGAGATGATGAAGACATCCCTCTAGCAATCACGAGCATGATCCAGACGATATTAAACCCATAACAACTCTTGTGAAACTTGTATCATCATGGAAATGACAGACCTACAGCATATAGGACCACACATATCTAAACTTTGCCTTGCAGAAGCAAAGGGTTCATAAAACCCTTAGGTGAGTGGAGAAATTTTGGTGGTTACATCACAGGAAATACCTCTACTACTAGAGAGTGTACAATTTCCAATATAGCAACCAATATATTTTTCTCGTCCCTGTAAAATACAGGCCTTGGAAAATGGAGAAAGAAAGTGTCATAGGGGACAAAACGAGAGGAGAAGATAAAAAAAAGAGGGAAAGGACAGAAGGACATCGTTGTTCTGAGGCGGAACACGTACTTCCTGTGTCCCACCTCGATTATCCTTAGACATTCAGCGGAAGACGGGGGAAAAGTGCCGGGCATTGCACCCTAGGACATATAAGCAGCAAACTGTCAACCTTTCATGAAATTTCGGGAAGCATCATGCCAAAAAAGTCAGGGGTGTAACGTCAAGAACCCGAGGGGCATACATAGTGAATACGAAGGATCTGTCTTCGTTATCCCAAATGTCTCAGCTGTCAAATAAGAAGTAGAAAAAATGATCAGTTTTTGCAGTCTCTGATCTCAGGGGAGACGTACGTGTACACGTAGTACAAAGGAAAAGGGAGTTTTTCTTGTGCTTCTGAGATAACTATTATTTCTCTTCAGAATGCCAGGCAAACCGCAGTAAAGAACGTCGTGTTCGGTTTATCGATAATCACTCGAGAACGGTCTTGGGGGAAGATTTCATCGAAAGGAGTGTATTTTTGGACAGGTCCACCGCCTCAAGACCCGGAGAAAGGAATGCCCCTAGCCCCATTCGCAGCATCTTTATTCGCACTTCGTGGAGAAGCCGGAGGTTTAACTCGACAAACTTGGTCAAAGAAGGCCGATTTCCTTCTCTCCATCATTGGATTCGCTGTCGACCTTGCCAACGTCTGGAGATTCCCATTCCTCTGCTACAGAAACGGCGGGGGTCTGTCTCACTTCTCTCTCTTACTCTCTCCTCCTCTTCCTTCCATCAATGAAATCTTTCCAATAGAACGCAAGCTATCCATGCGGTTCAACAGAACTTTTCCCGAAACTTTCTCGCTATTGCGTTAGTTGAGGTTAATGTAAAAAAAAAAAACATTTTATTGTCTTTTCAGGTGCCTTCCTTATTCCTTACATGTTGATGTTGGTCTTCGGTGCGATGCCACTCTTCTACATGGAGCTCGTCCTCGGCCAATACAATCGTCAGGGACCAATTTCAGTATGGAAAATCTGTCCGATCCTCAAAGGTAAGAAATCGTCTCTGAAGATAAGCAGATCTCATGGGGTATGGATATTTCTTGAAATTCACAGGAGTCTGCATGAAGCCGACGCGTCATGCTGAGTCCTTCACACTAGTTCCGCTTGCTAATCTTTGAAGGCAACCCTGGGAACCATATAGTCGTTGGTATTTATGAGATAGACTAAAAAATAATCAATAGGTACAGTCTATAGATTATAGTCTATCTCATAAATGTGGAATGCTCAAATTCCAAATAACATCTCAAAAGAGTATGTGCTTCATAATCGGCAAATGACAAGATGAAACGATGATCCGACTTCGCGCCGTGACATGACATTCAATGATCCCATGTACGAGTCGTTCACGTGTCACAAGGACAACTTTATTGCCATCACTGAGTTGAGCAACTACTTGTTTCCAATGATGAACCGTGTATTTAATAGCTTTTAGGAAAGTGAGACAGGGCAAGGCAAGAAAAGCATCGGCAGAGCTGGAACAGTGGAAGCGCAATTATAGCTTTTCTAAGACAAATATGGACGTAAGAAAGTCAAATGCGACAAGGAAAGTTAAATGTGTCGCTGTGCTGTTTGGAAGAGTCAAAAGCAACATAAGGAAGGTCAAATGTGTCGCTGTGCTGGATGCAAGACTTTAAGGAAAAGCTTGTTCGACATAAGAAAGTCAAATGTGACAGTCGAATTTCTCAGTCGTGCCAAGAGACTTGCACTCTCTCGAATTTTCATTCTTGTTACTCATGTCTCTTTATGAAAATTCACGAGTTTGTTCAGTACATTCATTGTACTGGTAATCTTTTCATGTCATATTATGAATAATGGAAGTTATTGACTATAGCCAAGGATGTCGCTTTCTCATGTTTTAAGAATCACATGAAGCAACTCTTGGCAAAGAGCAAGGAACAGATCGACGATCGCAATCGAGCGACTGAGCTGGGAGTGAATCTGCACCAGTATCGCTTATCAATCCTCTCACAGTTAGAACAGGAAGCCACGACGGTCATATCCCCTGAGAAATGTCACCAATAGTTCTGGCATGCTCAGTCATATATCCCCAAGTGTTTGGAATTGAGTGATATTGTGATGTAAACTATGATACTCTCAAAATTAAACCGTTGCTTTCATGACAAATATACTTCTCTTCATATTCCAGGATGCAATTTGGAACTTCTCATTTAAGTTTCCCGATTACCTGATATCCTGATGGGATGAGGAACTCTTTGAATTCATGAGTCTCACATTTGAATTGCATGATAAGTTTGATCTCTTCCAAACAGCACAGCGACACATTTAACTTTCCTTGTCGCATTTGACTTTCTTACGTCCATATTTGTCTTAGAAAAGCTATAATTGCGCTTCCACTGTTCCAGCTTTTTTCTCTCTCGGTTTTCGCACCGCACGTCATGAGG